GCTTTTAAATTTCACAGTTACTCCCTAAATACTGTTGTGGACATGTCAATTTAACATTGTCTTTTTTTATTAATTATTTTATTGCACAAAATAAAGCTACTTGACCACACTAATGAAAAATTCCTTCTAGCCAGCATATAGATATTTAATTTTGTAGAATAAGGACAGCAAGGCCACATAGTCTATTCCCCATCAGGAACCTGGCCTTATACCAGTAGTTTTCCAACGCTCCTTTTATGATGAAAGATAGTTAAACTTGCAGAAATGACAGGGTTCTCATAACGTTAAATGTAAGCACAAATAAAAGCGTACCTCAACAGAGTAGTTTCCATGGAATGTAGCTTAAGTTTTATATTAAACTCCACCAATGATATTCACTCACTTATGTGGCACTACTGCAGGCAGTGAAATCATGCTTGAAAGGGTTTTTGTAGGGGGCAGCTTTAGAACCCCCATGACACCAACTTAAATTTACAGATATTGATAGAAAGGTCTCAGCCTCACCTTTCCTGCTAAATAATGAGTATTATTCTTCTGAGAATCAATACACTGGAAGCTTTCTAGATAGTAATTCTCCGTTTCTTGAGTTGCTCATAATGTGGAGATATCTATATGTATATCTCCAGACTTCAAAAATCCATTTTAAAGAAACACTGTTCCTTAAATGCAGAGCATTACAAAGGCTTTATGTGTGCATCCCACTGCAAGAAAAATTATTAATTTGCACATGGGTAGACATGTAACACCAACCTTTGCAATATAACATTCCCAGGGCCAGAATTAATCTCCATGTATTTCTGCATTATTATTGCTTGAACTAACCCATATTTTGCTTAGGTCTTAAAACAAAAAGCTTAATAATGAAAAGTAAATACACAAGCCTCAGCTGTTTCAGAAGATACTGTAACATTTTCCCATAGGAAAGTCTATGGTCCATTTCTCCTGACCAAGTAAGGTTATAGAATAAAACATATTCATTCAATGAAGCCAAGACTATGTACCATTTCCATAAACCTTAACTCATTAATCTTCATCTGAAGTTTTCTCCTCATCACCTTATCCCACTCAGATCTTACCCACTTTTAGTTTGTGTTTCCTCCTTCCTGTCACACTTTTGTTTCAGGTTTCCAGCTCAGTAAAGTTAACTTGTAATAGTTATCTACACAGACATTGCTTTAGAGGAGGGAAATGTGAGGGCCTTGACCAGGAATTATGCTGTTTTATATAATTGCTTTTTTCCCAAATCTAGTGCTATTTGCAGTGTATAAAAACAGTCATCACCATAAAAGAAGTGAGAAAAAAGACACTATTTTGATCAATACTAATTCTGATTAAGTTCCATTACAGTACTTGATATTTTCAGCAAGTCTGGAAATACACTCACAGAAACTCAGGATTGCTAAAAGTCTTTAACAGCATAACAGGACACTGCTGACTTGGGTGGGGAATATTCTGTCTACTTTTTTATTGGCCTTATACGGCTATAATAAGGCAACAAAATGCATTAACTTTATTCTGTAATTAATCTTATTACCAAAGCTTCAGTAGTGTGGTTTTATTGCTTCTTTATTTTAGGCTTTTGCCTAATATTTTTATCAAAATATTTATAGATTGGGAAAAAAACCAAACAACAAATAAAAAAACCCCAAATGTTTAAGATCATTGTATGCAAAATTAGGGTCAACAGGGTGGCCTCAAAGTACACCCAGGGAGCCGGTGCAGGCAAAGGGCAGTACTCATTTATACTCTCATATGGACATATCAGGGACAGTTGTTGAGAGCAAATTTTTTCAAGCTGCAGAAAATTAGGCTCATGAAAACATGCATTCACTAATCACTACATGTATAAATGAGCAGAGTTGTTGTTAATGGTTCCTTCTCCTCTAGAGGCCCATAATACATCATTAAAATATGAATGGGACAGATGTAGACACATAATCTTGATGGGTCTGGGATCCAGAACTGATCTTCTGTTCATTGCACCTATTTCTTTTTATCACTGCATGGTTTATAAAAAACAAAGTTTGGTTAATTAAAAAAATAAATAGGGAGGGATGCAAAGCAACAAGAGTTTGCAAGTTAAATTTCCTAGTTCTAAAGTGATTTTCTGAAACAGTCCATCTTCTTCTCTTCTTTATCTCTGAAGACTCATTTCCTTCTTTCTCATGTAAAATAAAAATATTTTGGAAATACTGAATCGGGAAGACTCTGTGTAATTCTTATACTGCACTGAGCACTGCTGTTTGAAGGTTTCCCAGGAATATATCAAGTGATGTGACTGAGCTCTATCATTTGCATTTGATTTGGTTCTTTCCCTCATCTTCTTCTCCAGGGTGAGGAGTATGTTCAATGAAGAGTTTTGTTTGGACTTTTTTTTCTGCTGTACATAGGTACATTGCAGTGTGCTTTTCTTAGAGACAAAAGGTCAAAGATGTGCATCTTGCACTATAACAAAGGTGGTAAATTTTGTGAGAGCCCTTCATCCTTGCAGGAATTCATTAACAATTTAGGTGTCTGATCCCCAAGAAATGTCTGCTACGTCTGTAGATGAGTGGTACCCTTCCTATGGGAAGTCCTAGTCCACAGGGGAGAAAGCATGTTCCTGATCTCTATCCCAGAGGTCTCTGCAGTCACCATGGGCTCAGGTCATTGAGCATCATCAAAGTAAAAGCTGCCACTTTTGGTTCTTATCCTCAGCTCAGAATTTGTGCCCACTGCTGCTGATGCAATTAGAAGATAAATCCTGAATGACTGTCACAGGATCAGAACTGAGAAGTTGCTTGATTACAAAAAAAGAGAAAAAAGAAAAACCTAATGTGAGATCTAAATTAAAACAAAATTATTATGTGTACCAAGCAAAGGGTTAGATAAATGTGGAAGGAGGGGAGGTTTATTTTATGGACTCTGATTATCTCGTGGGAAAAAAGCTTCCATTTGTATTTAGATCAGAACAACCTGAGTTGTAAGGCACACGTTTAATCAAAAAGCTCATCTGATGAAATGCTGTAGGATTTGCTTGTATATCCAAGGAGTTCCCTAGAGATTTAAGGGCTGTAACTGAATACAATTAGAAGATCAGCTGTAAACATCATTTGTCATAGAGTTTGTTTGCTGTGCTTTGTAAGAGAAGTTCAGTTAACAATAAGTGAATTTGTGGTGGTTTAAAAGATAGTAAAGTATTGAACTGTATTGTAAGAAAAGGATTACCATAGCAGCCTACTAGAGATGCAACTGTTCAACTATCTGGGATCTGATGGTCTGTAGAAAGAGAACAGAGAAACTATTAAGCCGGGGTTCACGTCCAAGAATGGAATCATTTATGAACAACCTTTCTGGGCCTACTTTGTTGCTGAATTAAACCTCATGTAATGTCATTGAAGTCAGTGGGGTTATACAGGGCATAAGTCAGTGGAGAAAATTAGCCCTCTGTCTTGAAGCCAAGAAACAGACATGAAATGCTGATATTAGCTGAATGCCACTGTTCTTGGTACAGTGAGTTCTTTGTGTCCAGTAGTGAATATTTCATCCTTCCCAGGTGTAAAATCTTCCCAGCAGCACTATAAGGCAGATTTATAATAAATGACAAAATTAATGGTTTAGTTCTGTTGTAATGCAGCTTCTGGGCTCCCAAATGGAACTTAAGCAGTTAGCAGACAATATCTGTGCTGGCTTCAATGTGATCTCCAAATCAAGTCTTGATCTCTTCAGAAAAGCCTTGAGGCTGACCTTTTTTTTAACCTTTAGCCATCTCTCACCCATACGTGTGTTAGAAGCTAGCATTTGTGGGTATGGGGAGCTTTCTACATAGAAAACTGACAAAGAGAGTTCTGTCCTGGCTGGAGCATCTAAGCATTTTTATTATCTGTATAAAGAACTAATTCCCAAAGTGTACAGATGGGCTTGCAGCTCATGAAAATATCTCTGTGAGATGACCTGTGCAGAATAATAGATTTTGACAGCATGGCTCACTTTTCACTACAAAGAGACCAAGCAACTTGAATTCTTTTGACGTCTTACTGTGCAAAATTTCAGCAATGAGCTAAAGGGTGAAAAATGATTTATTATTATTTAGTAGAGAAAACTCTCCAGACCTAGATGTTAAGGAAGTTGTGTAAAGCATGGAACACATGGCTCGGGTTGCTGTTCCAGTATTTGTTCTGTTACTTCTGGTGTGACTTCTTGGTAATGATAGAACTTGATCGAGGGACTAGCAGAGGACTCATATGATACCTGGCCTGTTGGATGTATGATTTTGGCCATTTATTCCTTTTTGTATTATTTTTTTCAGGTGACACTTCAATAACTGCTTGAGATTTTCATTTTCTTTAAATCCAATTGCTTCTGCTTACAATTCAATTCTGGGTATGCTCTTCAGAGAGGATTGAGAGGAACAAGATACAAATTTTGCAGTTGCCGTGTGAGATGCTGATGTAAACACATCCAGACCTATCCAAAGCGGAAGATATGTCTTGAGGCTTGGGGACTATTGCAGATATAGGAACAAGTCCCATTAATCCACAGCCATAATTTCAAGTGATAAAATATCACTATAAAGCTGGTTTACAAGTGCACTGAATTTGTCCTTTGTTTAGCTGGCAAGGTTCTGACTTTAAAAAAAGTTCTACTAGAGGGCCAGGTTTTGTTGGATAACAAATCTGATTTTGACAGAAATCTTTACATTATCAGTGGCTAAAAGCCCATTGATCCAACCACTCATTTGCTTTTCTAGTTTTCAATAATTAAAAAGAATTTTCTTAGTTATTGGAAAAATTTTGGTCAGTTTTTGGAAGTTTTATTGAAGGATGTGATATTCAAGGAAGATGCAAAATTCTCCTGATTATTTCCAATTAAAATTACTAAACTGTTGTAGAGAATTATGTTTATACCTCATCAAAGACAGTCTGTTGAATTTTGTTTCTGTTTCTGTTGTTGCTTTTCTAAAGTCTCTTGTTTTTCTGTCGTATTTGTCTGACATCTAATGCTATTACATTCTGTTTCAGCTGGCAGGCTTCATCTATGCCTGTTATGTTGTGAAGTGTATTACTGAAGAAGAGGACAGCTGTAAGTACTAAAGCTTTATTGCATACAAAATGAATACTTTTTTTTTATATTTAAATCACCCCTCCACTATTCTGGCTTCTGCTGACTTCAACCTAAATGCCTTATTACACCGTAGCCAGAACATGGTTTCTGTCCATCTTTCTTGGTCTAAAATTTGGAAATGTCTGAAGGACTAAGGAGTCATGAAATGCTGCTTAAAAATTTAATAAACATACTCCTTCCTTCTGAAAAGATCATTGCAATTCTTTATCTCCCAGTTTAGCTTAAGACATAAAAAAAAAAAAAAGAAAAAGAAAAAAAAAGAACAAAACAATGCCATTCGGTGAATATAAGTTTGGGGTTTTTTCCTTACTTCAGATTGTTATTAACTATCTTCAGAGTAATTGCTTACTGCTGAGGTTATAGGTCTCCTGTGTTGACATGTGCGTTGGCCCGTAAAAACACTTCTGGCAAAAAAATAGCTTTAGATTACTGCAGAACCTTCACTTATGAGAGGTGAAACAGTGGAGTTCCTCTTCGTTCCTACTGCTCTCAGGGTACAATTAAGAGGAGTGAAATGATTTCATAGAGATATATGTTTGTGTTTCTTCTGCTTATTTATATCAGTAGAAGCCTGTTGAGCAGAATTTGCTCTTATTGCATGCTATAGAGTCAAGGCATTTCATTTTTTCTCTCTACCCTAACCTTGATTTTTTTTAAATGGGCCACTGCAGCGTTTCAGTACATCTTGGGATTCATACTAAAGCACTTTAGAAACAAGTATCAGAACTGCGTGTAACTTTGATAAAATATACATGAATCCTAGAGAGAGCTCTGCAACAGGAAGCTAAAGGGGTTTTATTTGATTGAGAGCACTGCAAGGGCTGGCGGGGTTTCCTTTGTGTGTTCTCCTGCGTGGAAAATAGCTGCAACCCTATAATCTATTGGCAATACAGTGTCACTGTGAATCATCAAGGGGAGATTTAGTGCTGAAATCAAACCACCACACTTTGGAGGTCGTTCTGACTATGCTCATTTCAGTTGTTTTTGTGTTTCTGTGGAGGAGAGGAATGTATAAAGAGTAAAAACGATTTGGGACAGATATGTGGAGCAGGGGTTTGTCACAAATAGACTTGTCTGTTTAGGGAAGGACTCAGTCATATGTGTTTTCTCTTGCTTTCCCATTAAATGCATTCTCTATCCACAGGGCTGGAGGAGAGTTATTCCTTGCCACCCAAATTGAAATCCCATTTAATACTATCCTGTCCTCTCTTCTAAGGGCTTAAATCTTTTTTCCACTCTTCTGTGATGCTTTAGGGCATGATATAAGTAAAAATCAAGGAAGGGGCTTGAGTCTTGGCTCACCAAACGAGTGCAGAAGTCAGAGCACACTTGAGAGGTTTCTCCCATGGTCGGTAAAGCAGCATTCCTGGCAGTAAAGTGCTGCAGCCAATATGGTATTGTTTTCTTCTCACTGTGGCAGGAGCTCCCTGTTGTTCCAGAGCCACAGATTGTCATGCTTCTTTGAACCTTTTTTTGCCATCACCTTGACTATTTTGAGGCTTTTATTACTCTGTTAGTAAACCTCAGCTAGGTCTCCTTGTCCAGTCAAAGAGCCGTCTTACCCACCTGTGAGCATGTCTCTGAGGTACCGGGGTGAACCCCCAGCCAGCGCAATGAAGCCAGCACAAGCTCAGGCGCTGCAGCTTTCCCCCTGGTAAGGCTTGGAAGCTTAGCTGGCAAAAAAAGAGAAAAAGGGAACTTCCGTGACTGAGTTGTGCCAACACTATAATAATGCTTAGATTGGATTTGGCCCCTCAAGGTATCATAAAATTAAAGCCTTAGTTTCTACTGAGAGGCATCATGTAGCAGAGACTAAAAACTATTCTAGTTCTCTCTCTGCTCAGACAAGTGTTCGCTGTGACAACCAGGGCCTGCAGTCCATACAAACACTCTCCACTCAGGTTTAATTTAAAATTCTTTTATTTCCTTAGATACGTTTTCTCTCCTTTTCTATCCCTTCCTTTCCATCCCTTTTGGCAACACATCCATCTATCATGCTCTTCTTAGAAGATTTTATCCCTTATGGATGTCATGTCATTCAGTATTTTTACTCCAGAGGAAGATGCCTAAGCGTGACTTTCTCCATACATTCGCAAATGGGGTCATCTCATGCAGACCAAGGGAGTGCTAAGGAGAAAAGCTTTCAGGATAAGTGGAATATGTCCCAGAGCCATTTCTTGAGCTTCCTGCATAGGCAAGTCTTTGATCTGAGATTACTTCAAATCCCCTAGCTGTGTTTCTCTTTCCATAGTCTCTTCTTCCACTTTTCCAGTTCCTCATAGCCTGTTGCTATGGAGCAAGAGGGATGAAGGTGCCCCCTTGCCCACAGCGTACTCCCTCCTCCAAACGTGCTGAATATCCAGCATAGGAGAAAAAAGCAGTTACCCATCAGCCCCTGCCTAGCATCCATACCTGGTAAGGGGTTAGGTTGGGCTTGTGCTTCCATTCAGTTTGGCAGCTGATGTTCCCTCTCTGTCCTGTGTCAGCTGCGAAAGATCCTCTGGTAACAACCAGTCAACAGAAAGCAACTCTGCCACACCATTCCATGCTTTCCCAGCACTGAAGCGGTTTGTGAAGGACAACAGAGGGACACTGCCATCTTCTTACCCACCTCTATATTCACAGACATCACAGGAGAAAACTACATCTCTGTTTTTCAGGACCACTCATGTGTGTAAAAATGTGATGCCTCATTGCCAACCACAGAGAACCTCAAGGATAACCATATTGGATCATACTGAAGTGTCGCTTAGCCACAAGTGCTTTCTGATGAGACAGAGACAATAGAAAAATCCTTTTGCTTCTCACGATGGACAGAGTAAATGCCCATACACTCAATTCCATTTCTTCTGCTTTGGTGATGGGTCATGGGAACAACAGCAGTCCAAAAGAGGAGCAAAAGACACAGAAACACTGAACTTGGCAGGTGTAAGCAGCAAGGCATAAGACTAGAGAAAAAGCCATGCAAGAGTCAAACATGGACACGTTCCAGATTTTAACCAGAGGAAGATATCGACACTGCTCTGGACTATAGAAGGTGTCTCATCTTCTGTTGGCACAGAGCCTCAACTTGGAAACAGAGTCAAGTTGCTCTTAAGCTGGTTCAACTGAATTAGCTTTGCTCTCAAAGTAATTGGAACAAGCTGAAAGAATTATTATTTCTCCATTCTTTATGAAGATTTTATTGAGAGAACAAATGAGCGAGGGTAGAACTAAGCAAACATTTCACTAAGATTAGCCTGCTCTAACCTCACCAAAGGATTAGGGATGGAACAATACAGTGATCAAACCAGGGTCAGAACTAGGGCTGAAACAGCAAGTCTAGAGGTTTTAATTACTCACACACCAAATAAATCCAGCCTCAGGTCCCCTAAATCAAAGCTCAAGTCTGTGCTATCTTTCAGAAGAACTATCTGCTTTGGGTTAATTCTGCACCAAGGACTAAAGATGAAACTGCTTTCCCTCCTGGTACAGTCCCGGAAGTGGTATAACATTGGGTCCACCGGAGTCGAACAGCAGCACTCATCTCCAAGGGGAAGACAAGCCATGGATTTTCCATGGCTACTTCTCTCAGAGAAGGTTTGTCACTCCCAAAGGTCCCTTCTGCATCATTTTCCCTGTGGCTGTGTAGGGAGGAGGAACTCTGAGGCTTGGAGTACCTCAGGTCTTTATCTGGGAAAGATGAGGGAAGACAGGTGCCCAGTAGGACTGCTGCCAATTCCATATTTTCCCCTTCACCATTGTTACTGGTATGCCTAAGCTGTGGCCAGTCTTACCTCATTAGCATTATTGGCTGCAGCAATTAAAAATGAAACATAAAAATGTCAGGAACAATGATTACTTGGAGGCACTCAATGGCTGTAAACTTATTGGAGCTCCTCATTTGTCTTCCAAAATCATATTAGACCTGCATTTTTCAAAGGCTGCACATTATTTTTAATAACATCAAAATGTTCCTTTAATGTGCATTTCCTCACTAGCAATTTAGCTCCCTGCTATAAGCTGCTACTGCCTTACTAAAAGAAAATCCAAGGTATTTTTGAAAACTTTATTAACTATACAGACATTTGGTGGAAAACACTGCAATGTAAGCAATAAAACAGCATTCTCCCAGGGCTTTTTGTCTGTAAGAAATTAAGAAAGAAACCTAGGTTACTAAAGTGGGAATTCTGCACTTGCCTTGCAGGTTCTGTTGAGGGAAAGGGGACTGGATTGTCTACTAGAGGGACAGCTTTGAATGGAAAGGTACCCCAACCAAGAGAATATCACCAATTCAGTCTGTGTTCTATAGTGAAATCCTAATTCAGAAGGCTCCCTTGCCAACCCAGAGAGGTAGCAGAAATAGCATTTACCGACTATAACACAATGGCAAGGCAATCAGAGAACAAATATGGCCCTTCTGACTGTTCCCCAAGTACCAGGAGGTACAACCTTTGCACTATCTCATGCTAGCAGGGATCCAACTTGCACATACATTATCTTCTTTTCTTCTGGCATTGTTGCCTGTTAAATTGCAAAGCAAAAGAAATCGCAACTGGATTAAGCAGACTTTTGCTACATAGTCCCTTGAGTCCAGCTTTTTGGGATGTCTAGCAGAGAAGTAAAGGTCTAGATAACCCGTGAAATTATTTCACTCCTCCTCCCTCCCTCCCTCGTAAAAACTTGAATTCAAGATCCCACCTGAATTCCTGAAAATGTTCAGGATGACTGTAATACCCCAATAGGAAATATCTAATGGTGAGCAATACAGTATTATGTGCAGTTATGTGCCAACAAACTCGATGCCAAACAATAATTCACTCTGGGATCCTAGGCCTGACCTGGGAAGTGTGAAGGTGATGACAGAGACTTTTTTAAAAAGACAATATTAAATACATTAGGTGTGAGAGATGTGAAATTTTGTCAAACATAGGGTATAAGCAGAAAAACATTTTCTTTTTATCTCTGTTACAGTCAGT